ATTTATTTTCTTTAAAAAAAGTCTTGATGGTGATTTCTCTCACAGCATCACTGGCTCCCTTCATCGGTTCTGGAGTGGCAGCAGGACTGTTACTCATATTAGTGCCAGTCATCATTTTATTCATGAAGAGATGTAAAAAAACAAAAAGATCAGCTGGCTGTGAAGACTGATGATAGACACTGTGAGTACTTTTTTCGTCAGTCCGTATCTATACCTGCAATTATTTACAATAAAAACAGCCTACTTATTGCTTGTTATTCTTCAGTTTTAGTAATGTATAGTAGATGATTTACTTTAGGTCTACATTAAGACAGTATGTCCCGATTTAAAAATGTAGCATGCTAATCAAATGCTTTTTGTACCTTTGACACCATTGTTGTATGTACAGTGGTGCTTGAAAATAAAGAACTCTTAAGCATTATTTGAATTTCTGCAGAAGTTTGACCTCAAGTTAGGCTTCATTTAAGTCATGACAATAGATAGAGAACCCAGTGAAACAAATAATATAAGCAACTATAGGTTTTCGTTAATTTTTTGAATAAGATGTTCAACATTTAAATATTTTGGTTGGCAAAAGTATGTGAAGTTCTAGAATTATCATTTTGGTCTACAGGATAATTAGAGTCAGAAAGTTCAATTAATTGGATGATCACGTGTGAATGTGGCTGACCCTTCGTTTTAAGGCTGACCCTTAAAAGACGTCAACCTGAGTCTTCACCATCAAAGTCTGGTCTCTATCACACACACTTATTAGTGCACGCCATGTATAAGTCAAAGGAGATGTTCGAGAACCTCAATTGTCATTGCTCGTTAGGCCGGAGAAGTTCACAAAACAATTTGAACAACTGGTGAAATTTTGGACTTCATCAGTCCACTGACAGGCAGGGCCAGAGTGGGACTTGTATAACTCCGGGTCTGAAAACGATACAGACCAGCCCACCTTAACCTCTAATTTTATTTCTCCTGCCATACATAGACAGCACTGACTTAGTGAAACATATCTTTTTGGAAAATTTGTGCATTTTGTCCGTCCGTCCGTCCGTCCGTTACTGTAGCAAGACATAATTGCACTTAAACTTACGCATATTGGACAGAAATAAAAAATAGACAGAAATAAAAACAGACATAGGTCTTTAAGCTAGTTGTCGACTAGTCGCTGATCGTGTATGACACTAACAACATGGAAGACAACAGGTGAGAAGCCTGGTGATTTTGGGGTCCGTATCTCTGGTTTCAGGATCAGATAATAAATGTTATCTCCAGTTACTCAAAGACTACATTATAACACTGTACGATTGAAGTTGGTTATCCTTATTTTCACAGAGTTACATCACTCTAAATTTCTCTGGCCTTATGGATCTGGTTAGCATCTCAGCAAAGCAGCCAAGTGTACACCTATGTCAGATACTAATTTTCGAGATTCTGTGGTCCATATCTTCGTTTCCCTGAAGGCTAGCAATGCAATCCAGGCCTCGTTGAAAGGGGCGTGTCATGCTTTACTAACTTGTGGAAAATGGCTTTGTCGTGGATTTTTAAAGTCAGATTTTTAAAGTTGCTTATTGTACAGTGTTTCCTTCTTCTGTGGTTTTATTAATGATGTCATCAGTGATTAGTCAACTAGAGTTTCATCACATAACTGTTGACTTTAAAAAAAAAAAAAAATCTGAAGTCTTGTAACCACTAGTTGAAACAGCAAAAGAAATCCTGGGTTTTGGAATGGTTGAGTCAAAGTCCAGACCTTAATCCAGTAGAAATGTTGTAGCAGGACCTAAGGTGTGGTGCTCATGCAAGTAAGCTGATCATATTCAAGGTCACATTTATGTAGAAATTCAAAGAGTTCTAAAGGGTTTACAAACATTCCGACACCACTGTAAAACACCTCATTAACATATTAACAATTAACCCAACATCGTTCTGTAGGTATGGATAACGTATATGGGATCCACACCGAGGCAAATGATGATCGTGAACATGTTTACATGAATGCAGAAACTGCTTTCAGCCAGACGGAGGAAAAGGATGATGGCGACTGCAATAATGTTGATGCTAATACACAAAAATAGAAAAAGGGCATTTATTCAGATTGTTAAGAAAAGCAGATTTAAAGGGAGACAACAGGAAGGAGAAGAACTCTTAGAAACGCTGATCGATGTTCACTAGGTCTCCCTCATTTTAAACCTTTGTCATTTCTCTGCTGCGAGTATTTCAGGGTTTTCTTACTTACACCTATAAGTTACTTTCTCCATGTCTATAAGTTTGTTTATTTGTTTCTCTGGAGAGCTGAAACAACTATTATCAGTTTATTTTTAAGCCCCTGTCTACTCATTTTCATGATTTTCTTCTATCTACAGTTTTTGTGGTATTTTTACTCTGATCTGTCAGAGAAAGAATCATGTTTGTCTTTTATGTTATAAAAAAAATAAATGACTTTTCTGCTGTTTTCTTGTGTTGGATTTGAGTTGAGTGGGACTGAGTTTATACATCAGCTTCTTGTGTTCTTCTCCTTTATATAAAGTGACTGATCTCCCGATGCACTCAGCCAAAACTCCCAGCAAGTAGCTTTTCTACATTTTTAAGCAGTGCTTGCTTTGAAGGTTAATTACACCATTGTTTGTTGTGTAGCTAGATGCCTTTTCCTACTTGCATTAGCCAGCAGCTGCAGGATGTTACTTTAAGCAGTTAAATTCTTTCATAAGAGCATGACAGCTAGTGGTACGACATTGCCAGTAGAAATTGAAAGCTAATATGTTAACTTAGTGTTACGTTAGCCTCCCCCTAATATAACAGTGTTTCCTCCCAACTGTATTTACCAGGCAGATACACAGTAAGGCAGACAAGAAATTTCTCCAGTGTCCGCATATCTGACCGTGCCGACTCATAACAATAGTTTGTGTGACTTCCATTTCACTAGCACAGCTCAGCAGTTAGCTAGCTAGCTATAGGTTGTGGATATAACGTGAGTGCTGAGCGTTCAAATATCAGACATGATATGTCCCTGATCTTATCGTAAGATGAAATCCTGAGTTCTCCAACATTACCTGCAATATACGTTATTGAATATCTGCACATTATGAAACTGACGTTCCAAAAAACTAGGAATGTTTAAAATGTTTATACACCTTAAACAGGTGTGTTCTTTAGTCCAGATGTGCAGTTGTGACTTGTAGAATGGAAAAATTGCTAAAAAAATTCCACTGTTGAATCTGGATCCACTGGATCTATCTGTCTTCAACAATACAATAATTAAGTTTAGTTAAAGGAAAAGGTGATGTAACATAGCAAACATACTTCTGTCCCTTTTAATTAAAGCTATAATTTCTTTTAATGAAACCTTTTATAAATTGTTTTGTAATCGGGCATGTCCAATAAAATTATGTAATGGCAAAAAAGTGATAGGACACTTACTGGACATACTGATTGATTTCTGTCTGCCAACATGCTGTTTTTGCTGTTTTCTCATGTGAAAGAATCAGCATCACTACAGGATGTTGAGTCATAAATATTGAACATGAGGTAGTTCAAACAGCAGCCCCTCAGGAAAAACAATGACACATTCAGAACTTAGATATTTACAAGAATTATGGTATGATCTGTTTAAACCCTGTTTACTATTGGCCTGTTACTATTTTCAATTAAACAGGGTTTACATGATTTGCTTGTCATTGCATTCTATTTTTTAAATAAAAAAAAAAAACCTTTATTTCAAAACTTACTGTCCCATGTTTTATGCTGCTACTGAAACACAGAGTTTTAGTCCATTTTAGAGCAGGAAGTGAGGCTGCATCCCTGTTCCTAATGGCCACATGGTGAGTAGTTAAATTGTTTTGAAGTAAAAGTGTCCCAAAGTTTGAAAATCGGTGTGCAACATTAGGAATTGCCACTAAAATGCACATTTTCTTAAGTAAACAAACTTTTTTTGTGTTTCAGTAAAAATATTATGATTTTATGTGTACAGTTGTTCAAACTGTGTTTGCTAGTAATGTACTGGCTAGTGTTTTTGAGTTCTGCTCAAATTGTCATTACCAAAAGTTTCGTAGTTTTAAGATTGTTTTAGAACTGACAAAATGGAACGTTTGATCATTTATTTTACTAAAATAAGCATAATTAAGATATAGGGTCAATAAAATTTTAATCAAAAGTCCAAGTCAGTTAGAAGTGTTTTCAACCTTGAATCAACTTGGTAGAATGATCCATATACTCTTGGGAGCATATACTCTTCAGTGCTGCACACAGACATAGCAATGAGGTTGGCAGCCAGGGCCATTTCCAGCTATAAGCAGCCGCTTAGGGCCCTCAGTTACCAGAGGGCTCTGTAAGAATGCAGGAATTTTTTCCTTCATTTTATTTGCTGTTAATATCGTTTGGCGGTAAGGGATGGTGAGCCCAAGCCATGGCTGTGTTGGGAATTGTTTTATTTTCTAGTTTTCTGTTCATTTTCCTTGTTTTAGTTAATTATTCATTGGTAAGCAGTGTTAATGCTGAAAAGTTCTTCTGAGAGGCCAACAATGTTCTATTCTCATGGTCTGAACAATAACAGCAAATTGCCTTGAATGATACTTCCTAAGGATAGTAATACAACCCCATTTCCAAAAAAGTTGGGGTGGGGTCATATTTACCACTGTGTTTCATCAGATGGTGGTAGCTGATTTTCTCTCCCGCTCGGGCGGGGGGTTGTCGGTCTGAGTTGTGCGGTGGGGGCATGTGGAGAAGGGGGCGTGGCCGAGCGTCACATGCAGGAGTAGCTGATGATATTCACGTGTGCCTTGTTTCTGCCAGCCTATTTATAGCTATCTCTTTTCTCAATAGGTGGCAGAGCCCAGAGAGAAGGAGACCTGTGGAGAAGCTGATTGGAAAGATTGAATAAAACAATCCCTGATTAGTAATCAATAAACTAAACATTGGCTGAATAGAGACCCCTCCTAATAAGGTAATATAGGGAAGCAGACTATGGACTGTGTGCAGTAGACTCTCTAACAGGGAGAGAGTTTCTGGGCTCACAGAAGGGAGCTGGGCTAGATGACAGTTTAAGTTATAGCTGGTACACTCTTGTACAGGTATGGAGGGTTGTGTGAGATGCCCTATGGAGAGTTGTGTAAGAGGGCCCTGTAGGGAGAGAACAATCAAGAAGTCTTGTTGCATTTCTTTTTATCCTTTTTCATTTTTGTTGACATTCTTTGATTCTATTAAAATCTTTTTGAAGATATTAGATTACAGATAGTTATTAGGGTAATAGTATTGATAATATTAGAGTTACTTATAAAGGTCCAGATAGCTCTTGGTTGCGACAAAGCTAGAGCAGAGCTAAGGAAGCAAAGACTGAAAAGTCCCAGCAAACGTGTTTTATTTTGTCTGTGGTCTGAAAAGCCGAGTGGTTTTTGTGTTGTGTGTAAATAAGTGTAGCTCTCCACACCTGCTCCCAGTGTCCTCACTCCTCCCACCCTTCAAAGTCATTACAAGAAGATAGACATAATATGAAATAACCAGAAAGCCATCCTTCTAATCAGCCTTGCTGATCATGCTTTGCAATCAGAAAGATTACCACTTTAACTGACAGTGCAACACATTTTTTGGTTTCAGCTTTGGAAGCCCTTTATTTATACAACATTCTGACCTGACTAAAGAGACACCAGCATTTGGTTTAGATGAAAGATCTTTAATTTAATTTCAATCAGTTTCAGGCATGCCCACCCAGAAATGATGGAGAACACAGAGGAGGCCTGGCTGGCATTTTGTTTGTATTTATACTCTTATGATATAGAGGAAGACATTGTGGTGTCCACACAACTGTTAAGCTTTATTTACAGCTGTATTTGGCCCCAGCCTTGCCTCACACATGGCTGGCTCTAACTTCCTCGGCTTTGGCGTTAGACTGACAAGTCTATTTCTGTTTGTTTTATAAGTCTCTTTTAATATCTAAATATCTGCAGCAGAACAAATAATCCTGAATAAACATGTAAACATTTTCTGAACTCGCTGCAATACAATGTCTGTGTTTTGTATAGTTTGTACTTGATTTAAAAAAAAATGCAAAACTTAAAGGCCAACTAAAGGCCATAACCAATAGTTTAAAAAATTAAAAACAAAAACAAAGTAAAAACAGGCTGTTCCTGCAGTAACTGTGAATAGATTACATTAGTTTTAGGGATGTGCTGCAAGAAAATAGCGACAGACTTGGATTTGATGAGGTAGAAGTAGATCAGTCATCCTGTTTCCCTCATTACTGCTGTCTCTCTTCGTTCCTCCTGTCCCTTTCCTCACTTCGACTCCTCCACAATATTCTTGGGCAGGATAGGTGCAGTAGGAAGGAAGGGGCAGGATGGGAAAGTTGTTGATTGTGGAAAACAGGAAAGCGTCGGGCATTTTTGTGTAAAGCAAAAGCGAAACAGAACCTCGACCCTCTGCAGCCTCTGAAAGTGTGAGCTTAGTGTGTGTTTACTGTGGTCTCCTGCACACACTTAAAGAAAAGTGTGAAAAAAAGGGTGTAAAAACACAGAAAGCACAGAGAAGCACACAAAACCACACGTGTGGACGTTGGGAGAGGCTGTAAAACACCATCCACACTTCGAGGTAAAGCTGTTTGAGGACAGCAGCAGTGCACAACCATAAATCAACTTGAACAAGGACTTCCACAAGGATCTCAGGACCAGGATGGAGAGACCTTGCCTCATTTTCACACTTGGTAAATTGAAGTTTAATGTTTTTTGTTCTGGTAAAAATGTTTAGAATATTAAATTATTCCCACACTGTAAAAAATGTTGTTTTAACTTAAAAACTTATTTAAAGGAAGTCTTTAAATTTTATTATTGCTAGCTAATGTTTCTCTGTTCATTGCATAGGAACTGCATAAAGCTGCAGTTCAGCTGAAGTACTGCCCTAATCAATGGAGTGAAACATGTATATAGATTCATGTTGGTCACAGTCAAAGGGTTTAACTGTGGTAAACATAGATGCACTGTTACAGAAGACACGTTTCTGGTGTTGAATTTAAAAGACTAATAACTTCAAAGGACTAAAAACTTATTACTTAATAAGTTTAGGCTTTTACAGAACAGGAAAAAGTGCAAAGGGGCAACAGAAACTCGGCCTCTGCAGCCTTCTGCATCACGGTCATCAGCACCTCAGTTTAAATTAAAATGATCAGTAAACGGCATAAATTTCCACTGTTACGCTGATGACACACAGTTGTATATACTGGCCAAACGAGATGATACCTTTTAATAAGAAAGACTTCCTCCTACTCAACTCAGACAAAGCAGAGCTACTAGAAACAAACTGTCTAATTTACCACCTAATCTGAACAGCTTCTCGGCTGCATCAGGTACATCTGTAAAAAACCTTGGTGTCACGATCGATCCTGATCTGTCCTTCAATGCACATATAACCAATATTACTAGATTAGCTTTCCTTCATCTTTGCAATATTGCCAAATTAAGAATCCAGGGTGCAGAAAAGCTAATTTACACCTTTATTACCTCGAGGTTGGATTACTTTAATGCTCTGCTGTCTGGAAGTTCCAGTAAAAGCCTTAAACAAAAGGAACAAAATTACATAATCATTCAACTGTTTAGATGTAAACGAAATCATTCAGAGTGGTTTGGTGTGAAATGTACCTTTCAAGAGAAAGACGTCTGTATGTCTACACTACAAATGTCACCGTTTTATCTGCTGTCCAAAATGACCAGTGAACTTGCACGTGTCTAACAAGTTATGTGTCACACTGATAATGGTAAAATTGTGGTAGTCTTTCCTTATAACGCCCTGCATGTATCTCTCCGCCCTGAACGCCTTTTGTGTTGTTTGGGTAAGTGGCGCTGTGTCACACGGTGTCAACAAAACTTAGCACTTATGTGAGTAACATCATGCACCAGAGGAGCTGCGATAGGTCACAGCTGCACCTCACTGTCCTACCCCACAGCACATTCACTGAACAGATAACACACAAAGCAACGCTGGGACTACGGAAAGCGGAAAAAAGATTAAACAGCAGCGTGTTTTCACCCAATGCCCAATATAAATGCACCCCGGATTACATGGCATAATTGAGATTCCATGATAAAAATTATTTTTAATTTGAGTAAACAGCATAAATAACTCTTGGAAATAAGATCTGCAAATTGATATTTCATTAGAGGCCCGGAAGAGGGCGATTCAAAAAGATTCATCCGATTTTAAAGCACCGTATTTTTACAACTGTGAGGTGCCTAGAAACCAATCACAATCCAATTGAAAGAGGGGTCATAGAGTTTCTGACTGTCAGTGGAAGATGGTTCCCTTCAGTCTGAGAGGAGATGAGACCCCTGAGCAGAAAGCGTTCTGCGTTCTCCACTTCAATAAGAGTGAATCAGTCATAACTGTGCAGCGTGATTTTCGTGAGCAGTGAAGCTCCAACAGCTCAGAGTGTTCATCGCTGGTTCCACAACACTGGATGATCTCTGAAATCGCACTGAAAGAGCCGTGAGTGCAGCGACACCCGATACGCTCAATCCAGTATGGGATGAGTTTGACTATGGTGTTGATGTTGTCTGTACAGCTGGAGGAGGTTCATACTGAGACCTTGTACAATTACATAATAAACTTTATGCTCATTTAAACCATTTACAGTTTACTGCATTGTTCTGTAATGATTTACAAGTGAAATAAATCATATAGAAATCGGATGAAACTTTCTGAATCACCCTGTATGTATAGATGCTCAGACAAGAACAATAATCAATAGCCAGCTAAAGCTACTACAATATAACTGGATTATGAGAACATACAACACCCCCGTAAAATTTAATAAATTTAATGGAAAAGTTCCTGATTTATGCATAAAATGTTCACTCTGAAAAAGGTACACAGTTGCATTGTATGTGGAATTGCAATGTAGTCCGGAGGTTCTGAAAATAAGTGTCTCAATTTTCCACATGGTGTCTATAGATCTACCTCTAAACCCGATTTTTTTATTTTGGGTATTTTCTCTGACAATCTTTTTATTGAAGTAGCTCTCGTGAGTTAAATCTAGGCCCACTATTGAAATGCTCTGCTATGGAACTGCTATGTACCCAGTCTAGCTCTGTTGTCTACTTGCAATTTTTTTTTCTTTATTTTTTATTTATTGTTGTCATTTTTGATTTGTTGTTATTTTTTGTTTTTAATGTATTTATTAATTTATTTATTTTTACCTTCTTATTTACATATTTAATTTCTTATGTAGTTATTTGTTTTGTGTGTGTTTGCTCAATACTTGTTTGCTCCGTATGTCCACTACTTACTGAAAAACTGCAGGTCAGAGTGGTTTACTAGAGAGTTAAAATAGCAGAGGTCAAGAATATAAATCACTTATTACTCCAGTGAGCACTAACACAGTAGCAGAGGTGACAGCGCTGCTTTAACTGTTATAAATGCTGCACTTTCACAAATCTACATACTGTGACTTCTTCTTCTGGAAAATAAGACATCGACTCTTCCTCATGTTTCACATGACTGGCTGTTCATCGTAAATGTCACACTTTCATGTGGTAAGGGGTCAAATCATAGCCTAAGCAACTAAACCTGGGTTCATATGCCTCATTTATAGATTTTGTAATAATAATAATGATAATAATAATAATTTTGCAAAGCTGAAACTTCAGGAACCTTGAAGTAGTTGAACATGCTTTGTGAGACAGGCCTCAGGTGTCCATTGCGTATCCTTGAAAAGGTGAATGCACACTATACGAGGTCATCTAACACATTTACTGCATAGTTAAAAGAGAGCACGCTTCTCTTTCCAGTTCACTATGGCAAAAACTTGATTAGGCCATCAAAGCGCATCAGAGGAAGTAGTGCTAAGCCAGAGCTGGTGCTAAACTTAGGCTAAATATCATGTCTCCCTACTCCCGCATAATGGGTCCTAAAACAACGTCTCCTGCACCCAAACGGTGCATATTACATCTTCAAGCAAGCTTTTCGGGATTCAACCAAGTACACTGAGAAAAATGAGAAGTCAGCCCAACTTTAACTCTTAAAGTAACTGAATACAATGCTTTTCTTCAGTTAACTGAACT